GTCATTACAGACATGATCTAGCAGGGTGATACCCAATGTTCACTGCAGCATTCTTGCCTCCATGACACTAAGCTTGTGTTCCATTTTGCGTACTGAGCCAACATTCGTTGCCATACAGCGCTGTGAGACGGATCACAGTACGGTATATTTAGGCTTTGAGTTGCACTGGCATTCGTTTGTCGCATAGCTCTTGTGAAGGTTCTCTATTTCATCCAGGAAGCATTTGTCGTGGCAGATATTTCATTTTGAAGTCTCCTTCGCCCAAGATGTGACTTCCTAGGTATTGAAGGTACTCGTTTTCTTGGCTTCTCATCGATGTATATGGTTTCTGAAGTTTTACTTCCCACTTCCGTATATTCTGCCTTCTTTGTGTTGGGCTTTAAGCCTTACACAAAGAAGACAGAATATACGGAAGTGGGAAGCCACAATTGGTCCTTCCATTTCTATACCTCTTCTTAAGTTCTTTCTGTTTTCTGCCATCAACACCACATCGTTTGCATGCAGGAGAGCACATAGAGGTTGCCGCTTGAGACCCTCCTTCACTGCGTTCATGACTGTGATGAAGAGAAGAGGAGAGAGCACCTATCCCTGATGTACGCCGGTCTTTATGCGGATTGGTTTCGACTGTCCTGCCGCAATTTGCACATTAATCCGTGATAGATCATTTTTATTCATCGATGTATACTTCTGGAACCATATTACTTTCACAGCGCCCACCATATGACATCATGGGGTACCTTGTCGAAAGCTTTTTCCATATCAAGGAAAGCACATGAAGCTCTCTTCGTTTTTCTCTATACTTCTCCATAACTATCCGTACAGTATGGATGGCGTCAGCAGTACCGACACCTTTCACAAATCCGCACTGATTGGATGACAACGACAACTCTATGATCGCTCGAAGTCGTGCTTCAAGTACTCCTTCGAAGATCTTCAGAGTGTGGTTCATCAGGCGGATTGGTCGATAAGTTGAACAGTCTGCGACATCTCCTTTATTCTTTCAAATCGGAATCGT